CACACACACACACACTGCATTTTTCACTACAGCACCCTGAACACCACTTCTCATCCTCACACATTAAATCTTCAGTGGAGTAAATATAATTCTCTGTAAATCCAACAGTTCTTTGTTGAGCAGAGTCTCATTAATTGAAAACTGTATTATTGTGAAAACCTAATTCTCTCTTCACACCTTGGCTGCACATTTTCACATAACTCCCATAATCCTTTTTGTATGCAAATGAGCCTCATTATTTGCCGTGATACACATAGTGATGCATGGTGATAGCTTGTATTTTTAGGACTTACACACTGGATATTTTTTGATTTTATAATACATTTCACTGTAAAAGCAGCGCCTGTATGTGTGCTGTGTATTCTTACTCTCATTACTGTATTCACCACTAAGATGAAGAACGCAGCTGAATAACAAGGGAGCCAGACGGCAGAGTTCACACTCAAAAATTATTATTAATTCATATTTTTTTATGCACAAAGTCTGCAGATTGTCAACCACATCTCTCCTCTGTCATACCAGGGTATCTACACTCTCCAGCCGTATATTCGCTCCAGGATAATCAGAGTGAGTGTGGAGGACATCAAAGTGCTGTTGACCCAGGAGAACCCCTTCCTTAGCAAACTGGAGGACGACGCTCACGCTCAGGCCAAGAAAATGGGTACGCACGGCAAAAGCCTCTCAGTCCAAAATATAACGCATGTATTCCAGCTAGATAACCCCTTTAGAAAAACGTAAGGCACTGTAATTAATATTAGTTAATAGATTGTACTGCCGCCGGTTTATTTTTTGAAACTGACAAAATAACAAAAAGAATTTTGGAAGCTGCCAAAGCGTCCCAGTGGTTACAGCAGCGGATTAGTGACTGGAAGGTTTCTGGCTCGGCTGGCATACAATGAAAGCGGAAAGTGAATGAGTAATGCTCGATCTTCCTCAGAAACTGAGTTTGAGCTGCCCTTGAGCAAGGCACTGGCCCAGAAACCCCACAAGAGAAGCAAAAGAAAACACTAGCCAATTATTTATTTATTTATTTATTTGGATAGATACAGTAAACATAGGCGGACTGAAAACAGCTACCCTATGCAAGTATCACAGTGTTTATACCAGATGCTAATTTGCTGTATTAGTCATGCATGGTGGAGCACTGAACCTTGAAATGTTCTTTTTTTTTTTTGGAAGAATATGTTGTTTTCTTGTTCTTAATCTATTCTTCTCTCCACAGTTATGGGTAGCATTGTGTTGAAGTACATTCCCAACCCAAAGTAAGTTTTTCTTTTTTTTGCATGTGTGTCTATATAGTTTTGGCGTTTGTATGTATATTTTATTATTATCCTTTTGAAGTGATGTCCTTGGCCAGTTCTCACATCCACCCTAACTCCTCTTGTTTGTCAGCGCCCCAGCGGAGCCTCAGTGTCCCATCCAGCTGTGTGGCTGGAGGGGAAAGACGTCCATCCGAGCCTTCGTCCCTCGCAACGAGAGGTTTCATTACCTCCGATTGTTAGGCGTGGAGGTCTTCAGAGACAAACAGGGCCTCGGGCAGAAACAAAAGGATGGAGGAAAGGAAGAGGTAGAGGACGAGGTGGAAAAGGACACAGAGGAGGAAGGAGCCGCGGAAAACGAGGGGGAGCTGGACATGGAGAACGGTGATAAAAATGGATCATCGCAACCAAAGGGCGACAGCGGGAAGCAGGGGACTAGCAGCTGAATATGTGGAGGAGACAGTGGAGACAAAGGAGGGTTCAAGACTGGAGACGTATTAGAGCTCTAAGAACTGTTGACCAGGTCCAAGACCACAATATGTGGTAGAGGAGGGAGATGTGCCTCAATGGGTTTCTCTGTTTACCACACTGCCACATGCAGAAGGATTCGCTGCCAGAGATCGACTCTCTTGGGATTTTTAAGTTTTGAAGCCCCTCCAGGAGTCAGCTTTTTAGTTAAATGGCTTGTATTATTTTATATAACTGTGTTTTATGGTTTAACAAATTTATTCCACTGACCAAGTGGCCTCTATTTTGTTTCAGTTGCCCATGTTTAGAAAGGTTTATATGAACTGCCATCTCATTTTCTACACCTGAAATTATGCAGAAATATGGAGTTGATTAAAAGTGTTGAAGGTTAACTGTGTCACCGTCAACTTATTTGATTTCTTTTCTTTTCTCATATTTATTATTTTCTCATTCTTGACCTGTTGAAGTGTAAAAGGCATGCATGAATAAGAAGGGATTGATTGGGTTCTGCAAAGTACAGGGAGAACAAAAAGGACGAACCAAGGGGGTTGCCAATTTTTTCTTTTTTTTTTACTGGCCATCTTTAATACCCTATTCTATTTTCAAATGTAGAAGAATAAAAGCGACCAGCAAAAACCCTCAAAATCCCTGTAAAATATGCAGTTATGTCAAAGCTAAGACAGGTGACAACAGCTCATGGTTGCTGGTTGTCATAGTAACGCAACATGTTCTCCAGCACACAAGGTATTAAGTTAAGTTCACAGCAGTCAGAGACGACTGTCAGATGCCAAATAAGAACAAAAGACAATCAAAGAGAAAACATTGTCAAGATATTTCCTCTTTTTAGTATGTTTGTCTTCAAACAGCTAAGATAGGTAAATAAACAAAGAATGAAGGTGAGTGTGAATGTTTTTGCCCTTGAAAGCATAAAAAATGAATCACAAGTAAATCTAACTAATTTGCATATTTATGGGAGTGTGGCATGAACATAAATCACTATGACGGGGTGCTGTGGTTTAAGAGTCTTACTCATAGGACAAGTGCACATTTTAACATGATTGCCCTAGATAATAGGTCAGGGCATCATCAAAATCATAAGTCATTAGGATACATTGTCTGGGAGCCATTAAGGTGTGGACCAACATAAGTATATGAGACCATCAGAGAAAAGCTTTCCATGTAGTTATTCTTAATGCCTGCCACTGTGTCAGATTCCCCTTGAAATCAATGAAAGGAGGCGGTAGAAACACTACCACTTTTGTCCACAAGGGCCACCAGAATCAACACAAAGTGAAAGTTCCTTGTTGCTGCTTTAAAGGTCCAGTGTGTAACATTTGGGAGGACCTATAGGCAGAGATGGGATATAATAATCATAGCTATATTTTAATTGGTGTATAATCACCTGAAAATAAGCATCTTTGTTTTTTTGTTACCTTATAATGAGCTGATCTACGGGTGAGCGGGTCCTCTTCTATGGAGTCCATCATGTTGAACTGGCATGTTTCTACAGTGGCCTAGAACGGACAAACCTAATGCTAGCTCTACACAGGGCTTTTTGCGTTTCCTTCTTAGCCTTGGTTGTGTCAAGGGGGTTTCAGTTGGTTGTAATCTTCAATCTCACCGCTAGATGCCACTAAATTCTACCCGCTGGTCCTTTAAAGACAGAAGTCTCATAACCCCAACCTCAGTTTCCTCCTACTACAGAGAATCATAAATGTCTTTAAGTGATGATCAAAATATTCAAAAACTCCAAATTAAACTCTCCATGACAACAACATATTTACCACATCTTGTCAGCGGTTGCCACGGCAGCTTCCCTGCGCTGGATGGACGGACATCTCTCCTCCTGTTTATAACCAAGTCCAGCTGCCATGACAACAGCCGTCATGACAACCAGCCCCCTCACCTCTCTCTGGTGACGGGAGGGAACAGAGGACAGAGGGACCACAGAGAGCATCCTGCACTCCCCCGCTCTCCTCTCATTTTCTTCTCCCAACTCCCTCCTCACTTTTCTTCTTTATCCTCTTGTCCCTTGTTCCCTTCTTTTTTTATTTGATCTGTGACCTCCAAAGTGCATGGCAGTGGGTATTACCAAGCAGTAGAGCGGCTGTCATGTCAATTCCCTCGGCTGTGGATATGCCAGTGACAGCGCTGTTTGCAGAGGCAGGCGGGGACAAGTCTGGGACAAGAAGACTCAGTGTTTGGGTTACATGCAAGGATCGAGTGGAAGAGTGAACCCCGTCGAAGCCATGTTTTCCCTGATTATTATGTTTGCCAGATTAGGTTGATTTCCAACCTTTACAGCAGCTTATATGAAAGAGACAAGTGGAAATGAAAGACAAAATGTTTGATTATAGGACAACATGGCTGCGGGAGGGGGTGGAAAGGGCGAAGACAACCAGGGAGAGAGTAAAAAAAGGTATTTTTTAAATGTGTAGAAGGTATTTCAGAGTGAAGGTGAAGGCACAGCAGAGGGGCGAGCTGCTTGTGGAGTCACTCAAGGATGAACAACGAGAGAAAAACGCTCAATTTTTTCAGCTGAATAGAGGATAGCACATGAAAATGGAAGGAGTTGAGAATGATAAAAGCCTTGGGAGGATGAAGAGAGATGAGTGGATGGAGGGTTATAGAGAGGGTGGGGATGAATAAATTGAATTGGACAGATAGAGAAAGGTTTGGAGATAAGGCAAAAGTTGTTACTGAGTCATAGGCCTGTCTGTGTGCGTGGGAGTGTGTGTTTGAGTTAAGCCTGCGTGTGAATATGTGTGTATGCTTTGGCTAAGCCTGTCTTTGTGTGTTTAAAGTGTGTGTGCCGGTTTGTCAGCGTGAGTGATGCCTTCTGCCTTTTAGCTTCAGCGTTTACTGCCACCCCACTAATACTAGTAATGACATCAACTCCGCACAGGGACACATACATTAACTTTATGCCTTCACTCTCCTTCATACTCACCTCTCCCCTCTTCCTGTCTTTTACTTTCTATTTAAATTTCCATCCAGTCCTTGTCTCTAACTTTATTCATACCACTCACTTCCTATTTCCATTTTGATTATCTTTCTCTCTAGAATAGCTTTCTGAAAGCACTCACAACCTCCCAAAGCTCAGATTCTAAAATGCTCTCAAACTGTCTTCTCAGTTCAAGTCTCTGCCTTTGGTACTCCCTCAATACACCATTTGTTTTTTCTTAGAGCCTTGCTGTTCTCCTACCCCCCATGTTTGTAATATTTTGATATTTTTCAAGGTTTCAAAGACATTGTATTTGTAAGTCTTAAGTATAATTAAAACCAAAATGTAGCCTGTTAGTTCCTAATAAATTAATTAACCGGCTATTGTGGCACTTTAAAGCTGCACTCCTTTATATTTTTATAGTAACAATGGATCAAAAGACTGTGTGTAATAGAAAGGTGTCTTGTAGAAAGCGATATTGTGTTATTTGTGCAGCTTGTGACTGACTGTACAGATGTTAGCTGTAAACTAGCTAGCAATGTACGCACTGGTCACGTGTGGGTTCATTAGTTTGTTTGGGAGCTCAGCCTTTGACTGATCTTTGAATTCACCTGGAAACTTTTTAACTTGCATAGACTGCCAAACCATGTGCATGTGGTTCTATTCACACCCACTCGCCTCTCTGTCCATTAACTCTGTATGAAATTGTGCCACCAATACAATTTGCCTTGCATTTGGTCTGTACAAACCTCTGGCTTCTTTTAGGTTAGGTTTTTTTTTTTTTTTACCAGTGATGCTAAGTAAGGCTCCATTCCATTGAGTCGGGGAGCTGCTATTGTGCATGTTGGCTCACTGGAAAGGCTCTGCAGCACTGAATGGAACACCTGTGTTTACCCTATTATTTCATGTCAAAATGGCTGCTGTGAAAAAGGTCTATTATGCTTGCTTTAGTAATTACCATGATGTAGGCTACTGCTGTCTGTTGGATGTAGACACACACTGCCATGCTTCTTATATTATTATATAATCAGAGAACATCTGCCTCCTTTGCTCACCTGTAGTTGAGTTTACGCCAGCATTAATGGATTTACATGGATAAATGTGTGACGTCATTAGAGTTCTACCCCAGACAAGAAATGCACTCAGTACCCCAGCACTGTGGATGTTGTCCCTTTTTCACCTCTCTCTTTTCTTTCCCTTCCTCTTCCTGCACAACACCCCCTCTTCAGTTTGATGCTCTTGCAAGCTGCATGCACTCTAGCGCTCAGTCTCGTGGACCCGCATATATGTTTGGGATTATATAATCAAGCTGTTACGCAACGCTAAAAGAGACCGAGGGAGGCAAATTCACACACACACACTTAGAGGGAGAGAGAGGAGGGGTGGTGTGGTGGATGTGTGTGTGTGGTGGGGGGAATCTTGTGTTTCATGTTTGGATTAAACCAAATCCCACTCAGCTCTACACACACACACACACACACACACACACACACACACACACAACTGCTCGCTCGCCCTTTTAAAATCCGCTGGTAAATCTCTGGTTATGGAAGTTGGCTCTGTCTGATGTGTGTTACTGTCTGTGTTATTGTGCAAAGCCTGTGTGTTTGTATCCATGTGTGCACGTGCACCCTCAAAATATAACCATTTTAAAGCAGCTCCCTTCCCACTCCTGCACAGAGACCGAGCCTGTCCTATGTGATTTTATTTCTATCTGATACACTCTGTTCTTTGGCATATGACGCTGCAGCTTTCACAGGCTTTAATCCTTTTTTCCCCTCTCGTCCCCTGTCCCTGACTCGTGCTAAACGTGTGTGTATGCATGTGTATGAGTGCTGAAAGGTCCGTCTGCTAGGGCTGTATCTAGGGTTTAAACCTGAATTTATCTCTAATGTGTAATAAAATCATCTGTCACCTGTGAGCAAACACCCACTCCTGCATTAGGCCAAATTAATGCCTCGAGAGGTACACTTGAGTACTCTTCGCAGTTATTGTAATCAACAGCTTAACAGCACACACATCACGATGAATGTCTCTGATGGCACGTCACTTGAGCCTTATGAGAAGTGAAAAATAATCCAAAGTAAGGTCAAATATTAGAAACGTATCAGCGTTTTCAAATCATATGAATCATATGCCATACAGTCTAATAAGAAAATAGGTGTACATGTATGTGTTAAGATTATTATTTTTGAACCATGGTTTAAAAAGAAAGGTTTGGGAGTCTAAAAGCTCAAAATCCCCCCGTGTCCGTCGAGTTCAGGGTCATTGCTTACAAACTGTACTTACTGGCTGCCTGTCAGGTTGACTGATCTCATATATGGTCCAAAGATTTATCCTCCTCAGCAGCACGAAGACAAAGATGGGGTAGTATGTCAGAATGACAGTTTGGGGTTAGTTTTACCTGCCTGTGCCCCCAAGTGCGCTGTCTGTAACTACTGCCCCTCT